GACCCAATTTTAGGACCTTTCTTGCAGCAGTCCTTAAGCAAACCTGATGGTTGCAAAGCAAATGTGAAGTTGTAAAGTGAACATATTGTTTGCTAGGGTTTGCCAAAACCCGGGAGTAAATGCTCGTTTACTTCCAGTTTTTGACCATGACCATGATCACATAGCAATAGCAGTTAGACTTATATACCGCTTCATAGGGCTTTCAGCCCTCTCTAAGCGGTTTACAGAGTCAGCATATCGCCCCCACAGTCCCGGGCGGGTCCTCATTTCACCCACCTCGGAAGGATGGAAGGCTGAGTCAACCTTGATCCGGTGAGATTAGAACCGCTGAACTGCAGATAACAGTCAGCTGAAGTGGCCTGCAGTACTGCACCCTAACCACTGCGCCACCTCAGCTCTTGTCCATGGTCACATGACCATGGACACTTCAAATGATTGCAATTGTGGGCCAGTTGCCAAGCGCCCAACCTGCAGTCACGTGACCACGGGCAGGAGCTGGCTGTCAGAACTTTGGAACTAGGTTTTAAGTACTTTTGAGAAGGCCCATCGTAACTTTGAATGGTTGCTAAGCAACGAGCTTTAAGTCAGGAAGTAGCTATATTATTAAATGGTATTGTGGCAAGAACCAAATCTATGAGGGATGTGGTTTTGCTGCTTTCCTTCAATGTTCCTGTCCTGTCTATGCCCTAACCAGGGTGAAGACTTGGCAAGGCTTCCGGAGTGCTGAAATAAGTATTTATAGAAGAAGTGGTATTCAGCCGGTTTAGACCGGTTCACCCGAACCGGTAGTGAATATCATGGTGGGCCTGCCCACCTGCCCTGGCTCTACACCATCCTATTTAGGCACATTTTTGAGAACAGGCGCATGCACGTAAGGCCCGGGCATGAGCAAAGCGCATACACGGAAGATCAGGCACACGCACGACAAACCGGTGGTAACAAAATGTGAAACCCACTACTGATTTATAGGCATGGGAACATGAGGCCTGTTTCAAATCTGGAGTCTAATCCCCCCTAATAATATTATGACTAGGCATATTTGGGAGCATCTATTCTAGCTGCTTTGGAGTCAACTTTACCTGCAGTTAATCCTGGGTCTATTGACTTTGCTCTGGCTCATAAGATAGCAGGAAAGAACCAGCCACATGGAACCCTTTCAAGCAGGACAAAAATGATCTTGAGAATCTATTTTCACTTCGGCACAAGGTGTTCTTATTCTTAATTCTACACTAAATGATTTTTTTTTGAAAAAATATATGTCAAGGAGCTGTACATTGTCTCTCTTTTTTCCGCATCAAACTTCAGAAGTTGATCAGAATAATCAGGTCTATTTTTGATGTATGTATGTGTGCATGCCTCACATGTGAAGATTGGGAAAATATAAATCCAAGCATATGGCATTATTTAAAAGAATTTGAAGTGGAAGTGCGTTTCTAAATTGAAATTGTCAGCCCTGTAATTAAATAGGAGCACAGAGACTCTTAGAAGCTGGGAAATTATTCATTCAAGTCACTGGTATGCATTTCAGTATATTTATCCTTTTTCCAATTTTCCAATGTAAAATAACAGCACAGGAAGCTTAAAGGTGTAAGATGTACAAGGAAAGCAATGCTAAAGAATTTAACATTCACCTAGAGAGCTATACAGTAAATGAAATATGATACAATTCAAATGCAAGGCAGTCTATGTTACAAGTCATATGATTCCTTTTGCACTGATACCTTGTATGCTAAGAACACTTCCAGAATTCCCTCTCTCTTGCATATAATAAAAAGTATTAAGCACAAGTACGTGAGAAGAATTAAAGTGGATCAGATCAAAAGTCCATCTACTCAAGCATCCTGTTTCACATTAAGCAATCGGAGGGGAATCTCACCAACACCAATAAGCAAAACCCTTATACAAAAAGAAATGCATGTTACCTTGAGTATTTTAAGTAAAATATTGGAAATGGTGTGATCACATGACTGGGGGGATATTGTGATGGTCGTAAAAGTGAAGACAGCTCATAAGTCACTTTTTCAGTGCTGTTGTAACTTTGAACAATCACTAAATGAATGGTTGTAAGTCAAGGACTATCTCGGGTGAAATCCAGCAGGTTTTGACAGCTTCTGGAGGACAGGTATCAGAAATTTTGAGTAGTTCAGAGAACTGGTAGTGGAAATTTTGAGTAGTTCAGAGAACCAGCAAATTCCATCTCTGGCTGACCCCAGATTGGGTGGGGGGGATGAAGATTTTGCATTATCCTTATCCTGGAGTGGGTTGAAATGGAGAATTTGCAGTGTCCTTCCCCTGGAGCGGGGTAGGAATGTAGATTTTGCAGTATCACTCCCCTGGAATGGGGTGAGAATGGAGATTTTGTAGTATCCTTCCCCTGCCACGCCCACCAAACCACACCCACCAAGCCACGCCCATAGAACCAGTAGTAAAAAAATAGAATTTCACCACTGGACTATCTGTAATAACTCACTGCATCACCACATTCTCTGTCTTGAAGCTGAACTGTTTCCAGTCCATGAATTGAAATGATAGATATCAATATTCCCAATGTCTTTTGGATAGCTGCATGTCAACTCGTAAAGCAATCGTGGTCTGGTCTTGAGTTGCCATGGGCAGGAATGGGGGAGAACTGATGGAGAAGTTCAGCAGCCACATTCAGAAGCAAAATCCATGCATACTTCCTCAAGGTCAGATCTCAGATTACCAGATTTCTTTTGAAATTTGGCTTGAGACTCATGAGTTAATTAGGGCATCTGTCTGAACCCTGACAGCATTTTTCCCCACCACAGAAACTGAAAGTAGTACACTTAAACGTTTTCTTAAGCATTCGGATATTTAAAAAAAAAAAGCACGGATCCAATTATTTCAAGATTTCTGTCTTCTTCAGGTAAGGTGACTGTGAGCTATGTGAGCAATACTATTTTATAGGGATGCCTTGCCAAAATTGCAGATTTTTAGAATGGCAAAAATCTGGGATTATAACATATGAAATTTTTATTTTTAAACAAAAGTATAATCCAGTTTATGTTTGTTACAAAAATTTGATGACTTGTTTTACAGCTCTTAATTATGTTATTGTGTTTAGGTTGACCTGTTAACAAGACTTTCATAAACTCTAAGCTGACCTCATTATCGACTTAAAACCTGAAGTATTTTTGCTGGGGATTTTATCAGAAAATTATAGTAAAGAAATGTATATTTTATTATTCATATTATAACAACACCTACAATAGTATTTGCACAAAATTGGAAAAGTAAAGAGATCCCTACGGAGGAGAATGTGATTAGGAAAATATCAGCATGTGCAGAAATGAACAGATTGACACGGGCTATCAAAGAGAAAGAAGAAATTGATTATTATACAATTTGGGAATCTTTTTACCAGTGGTTAGAGAATAGACATAAGAATTAATAGTAAAAGAAGTTCTCTAAAGTATAGAAAATGGACCGTGTTTCCCCGAAATTACGACATGTCCTGATAATAAGACCATGCCATATTTTTCCAGTGGGCAAAAATATATGCCCTCCCCCAATAATAAGACCCCTGAACAACCCCCTCCTCCAGCCCGGCAGAGTGCCACTCACCAACATAGCAATATCCCAAAGGCGCAAAGCCGCAGGAACCGGGGGGGTGGGGGGGGCAAAGGCACTCACATTGCTTGACGCCTTTGGGATACCACTAGGTTGGTGGGTGGTGCTGTGCCCAGCTGGAGCGGGGGGGTTGCTGGGCAGCTGTTCTCACGAGCAGCCACCCGGCAATGCCCCTTTCCAGCCGGGCAGAGCGCCACTCACTGACCCAGTAATATCCCAAAGGTGCTAAGCCACGTGGCGCTCTGCCCAGCTGGAAAGTGAGGTTGCGCGAGCACTTGTTCTGCCTCCAGCTCACATGCCTCCCAGGCTCACCATGCCCAACTCTCCCTGCAGGGTTGGGCCAGGCCGCCACCGCGGCCCTGCCACCACAGCCCCGCTACCACCACCGCCGCCATCCTCTGAGCATAAACGGCTTCCAAACTCCAGAGATCTGCTGCCGAGTCTTCCGGCAGCAACTGCTCTGGGACTACGCTTTATGGTTGTGGGCTGGCTGTTGGAAGACTCTGAGAGTCTCCCTGCAGCCAGCCCCACAACCATAAAGCGTAGTCCCAGAGCGGCCGCTGCCAGAAGATTCAGCAGTGGATCTCTGGAGTTTGGAAGCCGGTTATGCTCGGAGCATGGCGGTGGCAGAAGGGTGGCGGCAGCGCCCTGGCCCAGTCCTGCAGGGAGAGCTGGGCATGGTGAGGCTGGGAGGCATGCGAGCTGGAGGCAGAACAAGTGCTCGTGCAACCTCTCTTTCCAGCTGGGCAGCCACATGGCTTAGCGCCTTTGGGATATTACTGGGTCGATTAGTGGCACTCTGCCCGGCTAGAAAGGGGGGTTGCCGGGTGGCTGCTCATGAGCGTGGTCACCTCATGGTGGCTTTGTTGTGCTGCTGTGACAGCGCAACGCAGCCGTTTGCCCCTGAGGCTGTGCCCAGCTCTTTGGGCGCCCACTCACAAGAGAGCAGCCACACGGCAACCCCAAACCAATAAGTCCCCCCCCCAATAATAAGGCCCAAGGAAAATTTGGGGGGTCAAAAGAAAATCAGACCCTGTCTTATTTTCGGGAAAACACAGTATTAATTGTTAATATAACTAATAGAGTTAAATAAATTATAATGGGATTGTTATAATGTTCGATATACTTAAGGTATTGGAAATTAAGCCAAGATGAGATTAAATAATGAATAAGATTGTATATTTTAATGTTGGCACAAAATATTTGTACCCAGACAACACACTGGTTAATGGGAAATGGATTGTTTATATAAAAATAAAATAAAATAAAAATTTAAAACGTGAAACCCCTCCCCCTTTATCTCTATCCAGCATTGTGTTATTTTTGACACAATCAAATTTATGTTCTGCGCATTCAAGATGAAACAACAGGCATTTCTGAGATTGTAATAGTTGTCTTTCTGCTTACAGTTAGACAGTGTGACTTCGCTGATTCAAGCAGCCAAAAACCTGATGAATGCTGTGGTGCAGACAGTGAAAATGTCCTACATTGCCTCCACAAAGATTATCCGAATTCAAAGTCCTGCTGGCCCACGACATGCTGTGGTGATGTGGCGGATGAAGGCTCCCGAAAAGAAACCTTTGATTAAGAAAGAGAAGCCCGAGGAAACCTATGCAGCTGTCAGGAAAGGTTCGGCTAAAAAGAAGATCCACCCCATTCAAATTATGAGTGAATTCAGAGGGAGAGAAATACCCTGAAATTGTTGTTCTGTTCATTGCACAGCTTGCCTAGATGAGGAGGCCGCTGAGATCAAACCCTTATTTTTCCCCACTACTTTAATGCCATGAATGCACTAACATTTCACATTTGTGAGTTTAACACTGTGTTACATTAAGTCACTTCATTTGTAGCTGATGAAAGATCTGCAGGTTTTTCTACCCAGTTAAGAGGCGCTTTCAAGCACATTATTTTAAACATTTAACTGTGTTTTTGTATATTGATCACTCACTGGTGTGTTTGGCATTTCACCATTTTGCCTATGACATAAAAATATTGACATATGTTGCACTACTAATCATAATATGCCAGGTTTAATCATGGGAAATGTTGCTCAAAATTTAAAGTTGCTCACATGTATCGTATCTCAGTATTGGTTAGCAAACGTGTGGTTGGGAGTCTGACATTTTGTAGAAGGGAATAGATACCGTATTTTTCGGAGTATAAGACCCACCAGAGTATAAGACACACCAAGGTTTTGAAGAGGCAAATTTAAAAAGAAAAGTTTTGCACTCTGCAAACCTCCCTTTTTTTTTTTAAAAAAAAAAGCATGAATAGCCCTTAGGAGGCTTGTAGCCACTGAGGGCTTTTTTTTTTGGGGGGGGGGCAAAATTGAGCCAAAAGCGGCCCATTTGTTTGCTCATTACTGCCCTCCTCAGCCCCCAGGAGCTCTCTGAAAGCCTCCTACAAGCTATGCACGGCCATGTTGGTGAAGGGGCGGGGTTTCAGGAGGCAAAAAAATGCTGTATAAAATGCTGTATTCGGTGTATAAGACGCACCCAGATTTTCAGTCTCTTTTCTTTTTTGAGGGAAAAAGGTGTGTCTTATACTCCAAAAAATATGGTACATAAAAGGTTCGCTTCTAACCACTATGGAAGGTGTCTATCTTCGTCAATCTCAGGTACTCTACCAGTGATCTGGGAGTTTAAGAATTTGGCACAGTATCCTAATTATTACTAAAGGTAAAGGTTCTCCTTGCACATATGTGCTAGTCATTCCCAACTCTAGGGGTCGGTGCTCATCTCCGTTTCAAAGCTGAAGAGCCAGTGCTCTCCAAAGACGTCTCTGTGGTTATGTGGCCAGCATGACTAAATGCTGAAGGCACACTGAACACTGTTACCTTCCCACCAAATGTGCTCCCTATTTTTCTACTTGCATGCCTCAGGCGCCTCCTGGTGGCCAACCAGCCTCTCTGGTCCCTGCTCGGAGTCTGAACCATGCCCAGGGTCCTCCATATCTTCCAGAGCTGACTGATAGGGTCCCTCGCTATCGGAGTCCATCGGCAGCTCCAACGGCTCCTGCTGGACCACAACAGAAAATA